AAAAGCATCACGAGACGAATCAGACGACAACCTGCAAGAACGCCCGCCCCGGAGTATAGAGAATCCCTCTCTATGAACCTTACCGAAGCGACCGTGTTATTCCTGAGAAGACTATGATCATCAACAAATACAGTGATAAATGGTTGTTGTGTTGTCTGCCCTATAAAAGGGGGCGGTTGTTCATAATAAACAATTCACTTCAATTCACTTCACTTCTCTCACCTCGCCTTCTACACCGGCCATCTACACTCCCGCCACACAAAATCGCCAAAAGTCCTTGCGTACATTATGCACATGTCCCTCGCAGGATCTCTCAAACAGAAAAGTAGATTGCTTAGCCAAAAGCAGATGTGCATGGGATAAAGATTTCAGTGTGTTATTGGTGGGACTTCAAAGCGGTATCACTGGATACTAGCACCGTTGTAAGGACCACAGTCCACCTTAATCGACTTCAAAATATGGATGACGTCACGCTTGAATTCATTCAGAAATACTCAATTTTTCTCTACTACTCGGCAATGCGAAGACCGCATGTGGGGATCAGGCTACGCCAAAAGATCATGGATTTCGATCAGAGAATGCGACCGTACCAGGTTATTTAACAAAGTTAGCAGCCTCTAATTACCACCTCCTTTGGTCCCTATCGCATCCTTCAAAAGCAAAAGTTCCGAAAATCAACCTCAACTCGAGAATGAGGTCCACCTCTTCTTTTTACCACAGTTGCCGTAGTTCTATGAGAATGGAAATGAGAAGCTGTGCAAAAGAAAGGCACTAGTCCTAGTCATCAACTGCGGTTACCTTGTAGATTGGAGATGTCTTTTAGTGACGGAAAATTTAGTCCGAAAAATTCGGTCAAAAAGTCGCATTGCTTTTCGAACAACCTAATAGTAACTTGTTGCCCATTATAATGTAAGGAGGGTTCTTAATGGTCCTTGATGGGTCACTTCAAAGGAAAAAAGGAGAGGGTCTTGGTGATGTGGTTCGCCCGTAAAACCAACATCGAAGAGTCAGCCTCCGCCCCTACAATTTTCTTGGTTTTAGTTTTGTTTTACCTTCAAATTGTGAGATGGACGGTTTTCAGGAACGTCATGAAGGCACTTTCACTGTCAGGCTGGCTCGCTCTTCTTGTGGTACGTTCATTTTGATAAAATTGATGTCATCTGTGTGGGAAAAGGGAGAAAATTTCGTTCGTTACTAATTGTTTCTGAATCGCGTGAAGCGCGAACTAATGCTGTCTTCAGTGGTCTAACTAATGGCGGTGGCCGTGTCGGTCAGATTTCCACTAAAACTGAAATGAAAGTTCCTCACTGAGAACTATATAGTAGACATGCAACAGGCTTCACACCTGAGCTTCCCCAGTCTTAACACGGCATCAGGGTTAGGGATACTTGAGGAAATTAAGCAGATTTCAGCCGTAGCCGGTGGACCGAGAACGTCGTGGAACGCAGCACTAACGAAGACGTGTGTAAGTCGTACCGTACGTTCATAAAATATGGTGAAGAGGGTGTCACCACTTTTGTGATAATGGAAATCTACCTAAGAGTCCATGGAGGAACAAAGGTCGTGAATCTCTTCTTTAGCATGCAGTGATGCATTGGCGATGATGTATGGGACTTTACTGACCTTTTTGTGGAAACATTTCCGGTATGTTCGGATGAATTTTCACCCAATGGGTACCCTTGGCCTAGGTTGCACACACTCGAAAAGACAGTTCATGACTACGTGGAAGTAGACGTCATCATAAGGTGTTCGAATCAACGAACGGCAAATCTTGGTAACTCTCCACGTTAGTCAATTGCATTTGATACATTCACCAGAACGATCACCGGTGGCACCAGTTGCTCCTCCTTCTTTTTCACGACCCGGCTTCCGCCGGGCCGACCTGGCTTCGCCAGGCACTCTTCCCTTGGGCGAGGTAGAATGCGCTAAATGTGCCAAATGAAAGCACTTATTTTTTTATCAAAATACAGGAAAATGAGTTGAATACAGCTTAGTACCAGTCATCATCTACCGCATCTGGTCCCTCTTGCTTACTACAGACTTTAACCGTGAGAAGACTGCACTATATCATTAAGGACAGCAGTTGCGAATTCAGAATGGGTAAAGTTGAAATAATCCGAATGAGGAATCCCCCCCCCCTCCTCGCCCCTATACATGTGTTACGTAGTGCATCCCAGCATACCATTTAGTGTAAAGGCTCAATATTCATTTCGACTGAACAACAACGGTAAAGTTCCTTATCAACCCCAGTCAGTTTTTATCACTTTCTGTCACCCACCGTCGACTTCCCCACCTCCCCCTCCATATCATCTGCCGGTATCAACACCTAGCCGATACTGCGTCTCACGGGAACAAACTTCCCGCCGTTGCTGTGACCCCCGCTATAGACTCGGACCACCCTCCCCTTCTGACGCCTCTTATCGGATCTTATCAGCTGATATCACTCCCTGTCACCCACCAATAATGTTCCCGTCACAGCCTCTATATCACTGCCCGGAAATCAACTTCCTACAGCTACTGGGACGGACGCTATGAATTCCGTGACACACACACACCACCCACAGACGTACTTAGTGGACTATATATAGTAGGATGTATAACTAAAAAGTGTTTGTCAGGGTAGTATCGCGATTTTCACGCTCTCCCGGGAAGCTTGTTTCGGAATCGCTCACGTGCGACGGCCCAAACGACAGTCAACGCTTCCTAAAACACCGCCATCAAAAATGTTCCGGAGATTGTACGAAATACTCTGGGAGTCGAAGCAGAAGGAGAATGAAATTTGAAGGATTCAAGGTGCAAGCAAGGGTCAGCGAAACAGAGACGAGACTTCTGTCATGGACCTATTTGTTATGGACGGTGAGGTGGTTGTATTCGTGTGACGGTTAACCCAGCTTTGCCGAAGCGTTCCTTGGACGGCAGCGCTTATTTCTACTGAAGTTCCCCGAGGAGACGGGAGTTAAAGGCAGCGAGGTTTCCGGTTGAGATATGAGGATAAAATTTTTCCGTCTCGGTTTGCGCGCCTGAAGTGCTGACTCACTGCTCTCTACCACGCCACACCTGCCGCTTACCTTCGAGTTACCGAACCGCACTCACTGCCTTCAGAAATAAGAGGCGTTCCTGTCGCACCATTGTAAATCCTCTATTGTTCACATGTCGCGCTCCATTACAACGTTCTCTCTCATGTTCTCTAGGCAAAATCATTTTTTTTACATTTAGGACATTGACAAGGCTAGGTTCATGTTACTTCAATGAATTTTCAAGGTGTGCTTTTAAGGTGTGCACGACGATCGACGATGCGTATCCTTACCGCGTCTGTAGGTGGTTTAAGGGGAAAATTGTCTGCCTTCCGTGATTAATAACAAAAAGCAAACGTTGAAGTCTGTCATTCTACGATAAATTTTGTCAAAGATTTGTTGTCAGTAGCACTACGCATAGTCCTAACCTTAGAAAATGATAGCGGGGCGTGGATTAGAGCCGAGGCGGCCAACAGTGAGGCCATGACGAGTTCCATCATTGTGACCATCCGAGGGAGTCCAAAGGCAGTTGGCACGTTGAATTCCAAGACAAGTAGGATTCATACGGCTGGCAACACCCCGAGCAGGTGCTGCGTAGAACCTTTTTCGAGGAAGGTACCGTTATAGGCCCTATCAAGCTGCAACATACCGGCCCGAACGCCCACCGCCCCAGCTCGTACGACCGTACCTGATGCGTGGCGCGCCATCGCTGCGGAAAGCCCTTGCAGAAAACGACCTCCCCACCCTCCCGACTCAATGCGACCCTTCGCTGAGCACTACCAGGCCTAAGACGTGTCCTGACAATGATCGAGGCCGTACAGTTCCCAAAGAAGTACAAGTTATGGATTCTATTTTATGGTATTGAACACATACATGGGTGGGAGGGGAGGCAAAAAAGTCACTTCGACCGAGTCACATATCAGCAAAGTTTTCGCAGCCCAGACAGAGGACGTGGATACGAGTACCAGGGCGGAAGATACCCAAGATGTTCCTCGATAAGCAGGAGCTGGCTCTCGCCCATCACCTTCATGTACACCAAAATATGAAGTCATCTCCAGTCGCAGCCTGACTGGAGAAGACCTTTGGAATTCATGTCACCTCCAAACAGCTGCGAAACTTCTAGTATGGAGTCACCCATGGATAGCTACCTGGAGACCAGTACTCTCGATCTGGAAGACCTCCAACATCGAGCAGCTCCGACAACGTCGCTACGGTCTAGGACATCATCTTCACCGCAGTCGCCAAGGCGCGGGTGATGGTATGGACCTGAGTACCTGGAATGGAAAGACCAATATTTTCTTCGTGGACCCCGGACTGAAGGTGAGCGCTGGCGGTTACATCGAGCAACTCGAGAAGAATATCCTCCCTACATGTCGTCACCCGTACCTTCTTGGAAACTTTGTACTGCTACAGGATTGGGCGACACCACGTGGATTCGAAGGGCGTTGGAAAAACTCTCGCCCACTTGGAATGGAAGGACGTTGAGTACCTGAAGAAGATGGAATATCTAAGCAGGTCACCTGACCTAAACCCCTCAATTACCCGGTTCGGGCGGAGTTCAATAGGGTGGTCTACAGTGGCGGAGAAATCAACTATCTCGCTGAACTCAGGCACCCACTCACGGTCGCGTGGCAGAATCTCTCGATGGCGCTCCTCCAGAAGGCTGTGGCGGAGTATCATGATAGTATTTAATATGCTCTAATATGGTGGTAGAAATGTCCGATCAGAGTTTGATAAAGTGTATCTTATAGCGCCTCGAAACTCAAGGAAGGAAATAACTTTCTTTTGGGCCCGCCCTGTATAATTGCTGCTTAAGAACAGAGCTGATTACAAAACACACAAAAGTGTATGAGAATTGTGAGTTTGAGAAAAGACAACCTTTGAATGAGGAAGGTTTAGGCAGCACATTATGTTGTAACGGTATCAAAACGATCCACGATCCTCTCACTTTGTCAATCACAAAAATATCACAAAAAATAGCACGGTTCAGGTCTCCATTGCGTTAGAGTTAATGCTGTTGTGCTGCAGATAGATGTCCATGAATGCGACAACAAAAGCTTCGAGGTGAATAATGGCCTTCTGTCCTCTTGTGAGCCGATGTTCATAGAGAGCAGCCATCTCGATCACTTCCCGCCTAGCTGATGACGGAGTGCGCTTCAGCAACTCTCGAAGTAGATACTAAACGGTCAATGGGTTAGATTACACGCCAAAATTCGTGGCATAATGACGGATGGTCTTCTAGCTCAGTGCCAACCGAAAAGACTGCAACACAAGAAGCATCAGCAAACACATGCACAAGCTGCGTGTACAGTCCGGTCCGCTGCAAGGATCTGGCGTGCCAGAGAGCTAGCGACGAGCACCGCTGCAAATGAGAATACCTGTTACTAGTCTATTTATCTTTCTATAGTTATTTGCAATTGAGTATTTGTAACTTATAAATTTATTTTTGTAAATACATTTCACAATGCTAGTAATAATAAAATCTTCTTCGTAGCCATTTTTCAAAAGAGTTGTGACCATATCCGTTATTTTGCTAACGAAAACGTTGAAGAACGAACAAGTGTTCGCTAACCTCAAAGTTTCCGTATATATAACAGAGGATTTGTTAATAAGGGAAATGTTTGTGTCACTATACGGAAATCTGATTACATTGAAGCTAAAATCATCCGTTTTATTATACAGCTTGGTACTAATTTTACCGTTAGTAATATTGATTGTTAAATCTAAATAATTGCTAGAAACTTCACTATTATGAGTTTTTTCAATTGAAGGGTATTTTGATAAACTTGAGAAAGTTGTTCATCCACATCATCATCAGTTTGGTTATGCACAACAAGCAAATCATCCATATATCTATATGGAATGAACAGCTTACTTTTATTAAACTTTTTAGATTTAGCATAGTACTCCATGACAGAAAGCGTAAGATCTGCCAGTAGTGGACTGAAATTGCCACCTTGTGGGACACCTTTAGTCTGCTTGAACGTATTATTAGCAAAAAGACAAAAACTGTTACGTAAAAGATAGTCAATAAAGTAAACTAAATCGCTGGATTTGTAATATCTGTAGTTGTTCTTGAATTCTTACCATC